GAAAGGTTGGGAATAGGCCACAAGGTGGGGGCATGGCCACAGCAGAGCAGTGCCCATCCCAGTGCTCAACGCTGCGTTCCCACAGCTTTGTGACTGGTGTCATCCACCCGTGGAGAGTGAGTGCCTTTGAACGGCTGCTGTGGCGAGCCTGCCGTGGCTACCTGGTGGCCAGTTTTGTGGAGATGCCTGAGCCCCTGGAGGACCCGAACACGGTGACTGTGGCACCTGGGGTTTGGTGGGAAAGGGAGATGGGACAAGCTGGTGCTGATGTGACCTATGTGTCCACAGGGTGAGAATGTCACCTGGGTCATCTTCCTCATCTCCTACTGGGGAGAGCAGATCGGGCAGAAGATCCACAAGATCTCAGACTGGTGAGTGAGCAGCCCCACATCGTTTGGACACACAAAAAAAGCTTTATTTAGTGAGACCCACTGCAGTACCAGGGAGCACCAGCCTTCAACATGGCAATGTCCATCTATCCCAGCTTCCACTGCCATGTGTACCCCTACCCGGAGAGTGAGGCCAGCCGGGCCGACACGCTGAATGGGCTGGTCAGCCAGATCCAGGACCTCAGTGTGGTGAGCTGGGCACCGTGAGCTGGGGGACAGGGAGGCCACACCGGGACTCCAAATCCCTGAGCCCCGTTTGGGTGCCCACAGGTGCTGGAGGAGACAGAGCAGTACCTGGCACAGGTGCTGGACAAGGTGGTGCTGGCACTGCCCTCCTGGCGGGTGCAGGTGCAGAAGATGAAGGCCATCTACCTCGTCCTCAACCAGTGCAGCTTGGATGTCACCGAGAAGTGCCTCATTGCTGAGGTCTGGTGTCCCGTGCAGGACCTTACCCAGGTGCAGGAAGCCCTGCGCCAAGGATCGGTGCGTGTCCTCTTGTGGGGTTGCTTGGTTGGCTCTTGTCCTCATGCCAAGGTTGCTTTGGTTGACCCATGTTCTTGTGTCAAGAGCTGCTTGGTGTGCTCCCACCAGTGTCAAAGGTGGTACATGATGGTACATGTTGTGGGGAGAGTTTTTATCCCCCACTCCTGGTGCCCTGAATCCCTGTGCCACCCAAACTTGGCATCCACGCTGCTCCAACATGGCCGTGGGTTGGGTGCCGTGGGTCAGGCTCTGGATGCCTTCCCCACAGTACAAGAGTGGCTCAAGTGTGGAGTGCTTCGTGCAGAGGATCCCCACCTTGGAGAGCCCCCCAACTCTCATCCGCACCAACAAGTTCACTGCTGGCTTCCAGAGCATTGTGGATGCCTATGGGGTGGCCAGCTACCAGGAGGTGAACCCTGGTAAGGACCATCGTGTCCCCCTACTGCATCCCAGTGCTGACGGGGCCCTGTGTGACATGGTCCCTGTGCCTTGCAGCCCCCTATGCCATCATCACGTTCCCCTTCATCTTTGCCATCATGTTTGGGGATGTGGGGCATGGGCTACTCATGTTCCTCTTCGCCCTCTGGATGGTGCTGTTTGAGAACAGCCCCAGCCTGCAGCAGGGCAGCAATGAGGTGAGTGAGACATGGTGTGGGGCAGGGCTGGTTGGGTTGGAGGTAGAGGGCAAGCATTGGGTGTAGGGGTTGGAGGTAGAGGATGAGGTTGGAGGCGTGAGTTTGCTGTGGCACAGGGCCAGCTTGAGGCAAATTGAAGTTCTAGGCAGGGTGGTGTGGGTTGGGAACAGTGTGGGCTGGGGGTAGTGGTGTGGGACATGGGAGCCACCTTTTGTTCCCCCCCCCAGATCTGGCAGATGTTCTTCAAGGGACGCTACCTCATCCTGCTCATGGGGGCCTTTTCCATCTACACCGGCTTCATCTACAATGAGTGCTTCAGCAAAGCCACTGTCATCTTCCCCTCAGCCTGGAGCGTGGCCACCATGGCCAACCACTCCTCCTGGAGGTGGGTCCCCATTTTTCCTTGTAGCCCTGGTCCTGCCCACACTGACGCCTCGCTCTGCCCACAGCTCTGCCTACCTCGCCACCCACCAATCCCTCACCCTGGACCCCAATGTCACTGGTGTGTTCCGAGGGCCCTATCCTTTTGGCATTGACCCGGTCAGTATCCCATGGGGGAAAGGCAGGATGGGACCCTTGCTGGAGTGGCTGGGCATCTCTCATGTTGTCCTTGGCAGATCTGGAGCTTAGCCACCAACCACCTCAACTTCCTCAACTCCTTCAAAATGAAGATGTCAGTGGTGCTGGGCATCGTGCACATGGGTTTCGGCGTGTTGCTAGGCATCTTCAACCACGTGTGAGTCCCCCATTGGATCATGCTAAGGAAATGGTGGCAGGATGGGGTGGGCGAGCAGGGTCCTGTGTCGGAGCTGAGCTGAGTGCAAACCTCATCATTGACTCCTGCTCAGGCACTTCCGACAGTGGCACCGGCTGGTGCTGGAGCTCCTACCTGAGGTGGTCTTCTTGCTGGCCCTCTTTGGCTACCTCGTCTTCCTCATCTTCTACAAGTGGGTCAAGTTCAGCGCCGCCGACTCCCAGGTGGCTCCCAGCATCCTCATCCACTTCATCGATATGTTCCTCTTCACCTCCAATGCTGACAACCTCCCGCTCTACCGGGGACAGGTAGCATCTCTGGGACACCCCACCAAGACTGGGGTGTCCCAGTGTCATGAGCGGGGACATCCTCAGCTCCATTTGCTCAGGATGTGTAGGATGTTGGGTGTCCCAGTGCTGGAAGAGACCCTGAATTGTTGTGTGCTGCAGGTGCCGGTGCAGATGGTGCTGGTGGTGCTGGCACTGGTGTCGGTGCCTGTCCTGCTCCTGGGGACACCCCTATATTTGTACAACCAGCAGCACAGGCGGAGGGTGAACTCAATCCCGGTGAGGCTGGGGATGAGGTTGGGGGTCTTGGCTGAGGTTGGGGGGCCTGACCAGGACTAATGTCCCCATGCAGCCTGCGGCCACGGTGGAGCAAGAGCCACTGCTGGAAGGGCAGGAGGCCGGCAACTCTGTCAATGCCACCAAGGAAGATGTGGAGAGTGGGGGGCACGGCCCTGATGCCAAGGTGAGGGGCAGGGGGCTGGTGAGGGGGTCAGGTGTCTTTGCCCCTCCCATCAGCCCAACACACAGCATCCCACCTCTGTCCCTGCAGCACATGGACTTCTCCGAGGTCTTCATGCATCAGGCCATCCACACCATCGAGTACTGCCTGGGCTGCATCTCCAACACCGCGTCCTACCTGCGGCTCTGGGCGCTCAGCCTTGCCCATGCGCGTTAGTGCCCCCTGTGCCCTTCAAACCCACCCCAGTGGCTGAGCTGAACCTCACTGTCCCCTATATGTCCCCCACCCCATGGGCAGAGCTCTCTGAGGTGCTGTGGACCATGGTGATGCGAAATGGCTTTGTGGGGCTGAGCTATGTTGGTGGTGTCGTGCTGGTGCCCGTCTTTGCCGCCTTCGCCGTGCTGACCATGGCCATCCTGCTGGTGATGGAGGGGCTCTCCGCCTTCCTTCATGCCCTTCGCCTGCACTGGTGAGCCTAGTGGATACGGAGGGGACAGAACCCCGCACACCCCCCTCCCCAGCCCTCAGCATGCCTTTTTCCTTTCCTTCCTTGGCAGGGTGGAGTTTCAGAATAAGTTTTACGTGGGTGCTGGCTACAAGCTGTGCCCCTTCACCTTCTCACCCGATCCCTGGGAGTAACTGAACTGTGCCACATGGACCTGGAGGGCTCCATGTTGCTGGGACCCCCCAGTGCCATGTGACGGGGGAGGGGGGGTTGGATGCATGCTCCCTGGCCCCGTCCTCTCCTTTTCCAAGCCTAGAGATTTCTGCAGTAAATAAAGCCCCTGGCTCCCTGTTTGTGTCCCCTGTTTGCGAGTCCTTGAGGGGGAGGTACAGAGAGGACCCCTCACTGCTGCCCATAGCCAAAGCCATCTGGCTGCAGGGCAGGGAGGGGGTAGGGGCTGGCACGGGGCTTGGCCCCCACATAGACACTGTGGGGTGGGTAGGGGAGAGGTTGGAAGTGGGATGCAGATAAACCTGGGGGGGGCACAGCAGCCAGCGCTCCATGGCTGCAGGGGAGCAGCGGGGGGGCAGCACGGCCTCTGGCCCCCCTACCTTTGTTCTGCGTGGTGGCCTGGGGGAGGGACAGCGTGGCGCCACACCTGCAAGAGGGAGGGCAGCGGGGTGCTGAGGATGTGGCTGTCACCGTGGCACTGTGGCAGGAGGGGGGCGTCTTACCATGGCTCAGGCTCGCCGTCCCGAAACCCTTTGGCAAAGGGGTTGCTGGCGATCTTTAGCTGGGTGATCTGCAGCAGAAAGGGGAGCAAGTGGGATCAGGGGCCTATGGGCTGGGGGGCACCCCGTTGTCCTCCCCCTCCCTTCCCCAACTCACCCGGTGATTCTGGTATGCCGTCACTGCCATGAATTGGGTCTCTGGAAAGCTGAAGGACTTGAAGTTCTGGTGGGCGAAGCGTTCGCTGTCACGCCGGGGGTCCACCAGCACCACGTGGAAGCGGGGCTGGTAGCGGTGCATGGAGTTGAGGATGATCTGGGATAGAGCAGAAAGTGGGTGGTGAGATCCTCACCCCACATGTGCCCCCCATCCCTACCCCAGCGCCATGTCCTCACGTGGCCATTGTCATCCAGGAGGTTGTTGGTGAGCTTGAGCTTGTCAAAGGAGACGATCTGCCGCATCCACTGCGCACCCTTGGCTGGTGAGTCAGGGTGGAAGTGGACACGGCCAGGAGCTGCTGGGTCAGCACGGCCAGCCACTAGCCAGGACGAGCTGTGGAAGGCGTACCTGGGGAGCCAAGGGGGCTCAGCACCGTTGGGATGCGCCCATCACATCCCCATCCCTCTCCATCCATCCCCACCGGTATCTCTTGTCATCCAACGGCACGAAGTCCATCAGCAGAACGTAGTCGGCCAATGGGTCCAACCCTGACAGCTTCACCTGGAAGGTGGGGAACATCCTCCTGCGGGGAGGGGGGAGGCCACAGGGGTGCCCCCCCCCGCCCCATCACCCGTCCAGCACCCACCGCCGTCCCTACCTGCCTGCCTTGGTGACGATCATCTCGGTGCCCAGACGGTTGAATTCCTCCCAGAGGTTGCCCATCTCCAGCCGTGCCATGGCATGGCACACGCGGCGGTTCTTGCCACTGGCCCCTGGCCCCTCACATGCCCACCCAGGAGCATTGCCTGCAGGGAGGCCCTCACTGGGAATGGCCAGGAAGGCTGTAGAGGGGGGCAATAGGTGCTGAGGTTCCTGCACCCCACTTTTGGAAGCCACCCTATGCACCCTCAGCCACCCATTGCATCCTTCTCCAGCTGAGGGTCCCCCAATGTAGCACGGCGTTATCCCACCCGATTGCCTTTTACCTGCCATGGGTGGGTATGAAGCAACTGCAACTCTGCCAGCTCCAGACTGCAGCCCCCGCAGAACACTGAGGGGTTTTATCTCCCTGCATGGGGGTGGAGACAAGGGGGATGGAGCTTGATGGGAGCACTACCTCCCCTCCCTGTTCTGCCTTCATGCCTTGGCACCCCAGTGATGGATGGGAGGGGCAGCAATGGCTTTGGGACCCCTAGGTGGGTCTGGGTGTGCCTGGGGTGGGGATGTGACACTGGGGATGGGGGGCAATTGTCAAACTGCAATGGGGCCAGCAGCACAGCTGGGGTGATGGGGACAACAGGGGGGAGGGGGTGAAGTCCCTGTGTTTTGGGTCAGCGCTAAATTTTGGGGAATGGGACTGGTTGTGCAGACAAAGAGGGGGGCCGCCACCTCCTCAGTCCCCCACATCCATCACCTTGCTGCCTGCATCCCCTGCGGCAGCAGCATGGCCCCATCCATCTCCTGCTGTCAGCCGCAGGGCCAGCATTGAGCAGGAGATGAGGAGGTGTGAGGTGATATGACAGCCAGGGTGGGGCTCAGCACTGCAGTCCTCGTAGTCGATTTTTTTGCTTTCCTCTGTTTTTCAGCATTTAATGAACTTCTCTGGTCTCCATCAGTAGAATGTTTTCCCACAGAGGGGTGGGAACGAGACCCCCCAGTTTGGGGGCAGGTGCTCTTTGGGAGAGAGGTTTCTAAACAGGGGATGGTTGGCTTGAAAACCATGACGCCATGTGAAAACAGCTGCTTCTGGCCTCAACATCACTTGTGGTTTCGTTTCTTCCTTCCCAAGGCTGCCAACTTCCTACTTGCAAGCAATGAATGCAGCGATTGTGCTGGCAGCATGATAGTAATCTGCTGGTGTCCCTCAGCAGAATTCCTACACACCAAGGATCTCAAGGTGGTAAATCTGAGTCTGAGATAAATCAGTCCATTTTATCACACCAGCAAACACCTGAAAGAGGGGGTTGTTGGGGCATGACAGAGCATGAAGCCATAGGGCCAGGTCTTGCCTTCTCTGTGCATCACCATCTGGTGGCCAGAGATGATGCTCCAGATGTGCCACATCTGTAAAATGTGAGTTCCAAGAGTTTATCCAACCCAACTTTGCCTTGAGAAAGAGGAACCCAACCTTGCTTTGCAGAGTTTCTCCTCGCTTTGGAGGTAGGTGTCATCCCAAGCACCAAGGGGTGCAGGAGGACTGTGGGCAGTCCTCAGTGGGATCGTGATCTCAATCGCCTTGGAAGCCCTCTCCAGGCAGAGCAAGAGCAAGGAGGTGGCAGAGTGCATCCAGCATGCATTTTATCAGGGGGAAATCACAGCTGACCAGCTTGGACATTGTGCAAGGTGGGGAGAAGGCCATGTGGGTGGGAAGGGCAGCAACGGGTAGCGGATTGATACCGTTGGCTCCTTGTAGTCAAATTAGAGAGCTATGGTTTGCATACAAGGGGTTTAAAATGGGTAGTAAGGTGTTTCATCACCCACAGTGGGTGGGGGATTGTGCTCCACCAGTGCCCATCCAAGTGTATGGTGAAGCTGAAATATTCACAAAGTGGATGTGTATGGCCAGATACTGTCTCTGAGGGGTAACAGAGCCCCTTTGTCCATCTGATCTGAGGCTGTCTGCTTTGGGTGCGCTGCTTATCCAAAACTAGATATGCAGAGAAAGGAGGATGGCCTGCTCTGGGATTTGTTCCTCTCCTGCTCTGGGTTTTGTTCCTCTCCTGAGGCTTGAAGAGATTCTCAGTTCCCAAATCCCCAGACTTCATGAAATAGCGAGGCATTTGCTGAAAGTGAGTTATTATCAAGTTCTAATGCAGAGAGCAAGATTTTTTTCCCCCCAAAGTACTTTCAAGGATATATTTTTCAGCTTTTGGGAATGCCCATCTCCTTCTGAAGACTCTAGAAATGGGTTAGAGAGCCAGCAAATGCTTTAGAGCTGAAAGAGAGTCTCAGGAAGCCAAGAGAAACCTCTTTCTCCCAGGAAAGAAGCATTGCAAAATCCCATTTTATGTTACCCACATGGTGCTGCACCTTTTGGCAAGCTGTTTCTAATCAGTTCATGCCTGAAATCTTCCTTTAGCTCTCATCTCTATGGCCTGCTGGAGAGAGGGCTTTATAGCTGGGGGATGCCTGCCTGCAGCAGAAAGAACTGCAAGAATCTTTCTGTCCTTCTTCATGTGGAAAGCATGCACCAAGCCAGTGGCAGAAAGCAATTGCACCCAGGTGACTGCGTTTGGTTTAGCAGGGTTCACAGGTGGCCTCATGGGTCAGGTTCCCCTTTTGCTTCTGTTTCTGCTCATCTCTATCGCCACCGTCCTGGGGAACCTGGTGATGATCGTGTACCAGCCCTCAACTCTGCATCTCCATGTATTATTTCCTGGGCAATCTGGCTTTTGCAGACCTCTGCTCCTCCACCATCATCATCCCCAGGGTGTTGGTTGACTCTGTGTCAGAGAAGAAGGGCATTGCCCATGCTGGATGTGCAGCCCAGGTGTTCATTTTTGATTTCTTGGGCTTCCTGCTGGCTATGATAGCTTAAGACCACTGTGCAGCCATTTGCCATCCCCTGCTGTACTCATTCATCGTATTCCCAAAATGCTGCTCCACTCGTGCCTCTCACCTGACTGTTGTGAGCTTCCTCCATGGTACATCACTATTTACTTAAAGCTCCAGGGATAATAAACGGACAGCAGTGCTTTACACCACGGTGACCTCCATGCAGAACCCCTTGATCTACAGCCTGAGGAACCAGGAGGTGAAGGAGGCTTTGAGGAGACTCACAGAAATGGTAAAGATGTGGGTGATGTGCTTAGTTTTTTCATTAAATATCATTAAATATCCCATACAGGTGGTGCTCCTGGAGACTTCTGCCTGTTGCCTCACCTGAAGTCTGATTCATTGTCCTCTGTTGGCTCAGGGTACTGATAATTTCACTCGGTGCTCCAAATGTAATTAATTGTGTTTAGCAGTTAACTCACCCCCATGAAAAGCACAAGTAGGGAGCTACAGCCTCACTCTTCTCACTTAAATCTCTGCCACATTCTGCTACCTATCAAAATATTCACATCATGGGCTGGCCCTTCTGCTTAGCAAGTAGGGACAAAAGAGATATTGTCATTCCAGGGAACCAAGGAGATGTTATAAAGTCATCAAATGCCATCACACGTGGCCTCAGGACACGAATGCCTTTAAGCAAGAAAAGGGGAGATGACAGTAAGTAACTGATATGCTACACAGGAACTGTTCTTCCTTGTTTATCATGAAACATCATTCAGTGATTAACAGATAAAATGTTATGGATGGCAGTTGGGCAACCTCTGTTGTGAATGAAGGCACTGCAAAGCAGTCTGAGATACAGCCATGATGATTCTCCCCAAAGGCAAATGCTAGATAATGTTTCCCAGCCTTACTGATTCCATGACCCATGAGGATGGTGATGAACCTAGAACCCTAATGCTACCCCAGAGCCATGCAATAATTTGGGCTGGTGGTGAAGCAAGGAGAAAACTGGGTCAAACCAAATCAGGGTGACATTGATCTGTTGATTTATTGACACACAATCAACGGGTAGCCCTATGCATTGCAGGTCAGACTACAAAGCAGCAGAGCTGAGCACTTTTGTGTCCCAAGTTTCTTGCCATATCTCTGGTTACTATTTAATCCATGTGTGGTTGTCTTTCTCACCAGATTGGAGCAAACCCTCTCAGACTGTACTGGGTGTTTCCCTCCCACCCTGTTTGCTCTCCCATTCCTGCCTTATCAGCACAGCTGTCACTCTACCAGGGGAGACGTCACTGGAGTTTCCTGTGCGGCAAATTCATTGCAGGAGATCTTGTCCAGCTACAACATGGAGCCCACAGCACCACATGGCTGGTATCAATTCCAAAAGGACAAGCGGTTATTCATCTTTTCCCATATTTCCTGTCCCTGAAATGGGTCCCAAACCTCCGTGCAGCCATGGTTATTATGCATACCACCTACTTCATGAGCATAAGCTGCCTGCTCCTTTGTGTCTTCCACGTACTTAGAGATGACATCTAGAATAAGCTGTTCCATCCCCTTTCCAGGGGTGGATGTGAGGCTGGCTGGCCTGCAGTTCTCTGCATTCTCCCTCTTGCCCTTTTTGAATACTGGTGATCCTGACTTTCTTCTGGTTGTCAGGCTCCTCTCCTGATTGCCACAGCCTTTCAAAGATGATCAAGAGTGGCCTAGCAGTCATGTCCACCAGCTCCCTCAGCACTCATGAGTGCATCCCATCAGGACCTATGGACTGGGTGTCAAGTTTTCCTAAATATTCTACGCTGTAATGATCTCCCCAGTCAAGGGAAAGTCTTCCTTTTCCAGACTTTCTCCCTGATCCTCTGGACTAGGGATCTCTTGAAGGCTGGCCTTGGTAACTGAAGCATATCAATTTGAGTTGCAAGGGACCTTTAAAGGCCATCTAGTCCAATATGGTGAAGCTTGCTATTAGATGGGGCTATTTTGGTTAACTTTGATTTAAACATAGGTATGAGCAGTGCTGCTTTCTCCAGGGTAAGATTCACCTCTCCTCCATGTAGATACCTAGTGACTGTAGCTGAAGATCACCTCAAACGTCCTTATGAGCCATAGAATCACAGAATGGCCTGGGTTGAAAAGGACCACAGTGAACACCTAGCTTCAACCCCCTGCTATGCGCAGGGTCGCCAACCACCAGACCAGGCTGCCCAGAGCCACATCCAGCCTGGCTTTCAATATAAGGAATATGAATATATGGAATGTGAATATATGGAAAGGACTTACCTCCTTAGCTTTAAACAATACCATGTAATCTCTTCTACGTAAGTGCCCTGTGGCCAAGAGAGATTTGGTTAAGTGTGTTGGTGGAACCTGGTTTAAACACCAACAATTCATCAGCCAAGATCTCATTCAGCTCTGTGGATCGCGTTGGTGAGAGAACCAACTCTCTCATAAGAACTTGGCTTACAAAGAAGTAACAGCAGACATGAGCTATG